GACGGTAGAGGAGATAATCCAGACGTAACCCATTGCCTGAGGTGGCGGTCCATTTCTTGCTGGAGAACGGATTGTATTTGTTTTCACAGGTGCAACCCTCCAACTCCAGAGCATCGAGATCTGTCACCGGTTGACGCTCCAGCTTATAGGCAAAAATAAGCGAGAAATTTGTATATGACATCAGACAAGTTTATTCTTGACAGTTATATAATCGGACGAAACAGTCTAGAGTGTGTATTGCATGGGATGGTTGACTGAAGTCAGATTTTTAGTTTCGCGAGGCAGTACCCGATGGAGTATGTGGTGTGCGTTTCAGTTTTTTTGCTATGTCCTTGAGATTACAATAAACCAGTCGTTTGCAATATGGGTGAAACTGGACCTGTAAATCCACAGAAGGATGTGAAATAAAAAAATTCTGAATAGAGAATTAATAAAGTGACCAGAAAGTTGAACATACAGATGTTAAATGACAAAGGTTTCAAAGAAAAACAGTGAAAAACAAGGGGAGGGGAAAACTAAGAGGGCTCTATGAAAAGCAGAAACGTAAATAACGATGATGATGGAAGCTTCAATTGTAAAAGCGAATTTCCCTGTTTGAATTTTGAAAAAAAGTGACGATCATGTATTAATTGTTAACTATTTATTAAATATTAACGGCTACTGCGTACTGCAACACCTGCTCGTGTTTTAAGACGAACTTCAATTAATTTCTCCGATTAATGACAGGTTTTACTCAAACCATTTCCCATATAAATGTAATGGCCCGACTAGACTTTGCTTGCCCACTAGTCTTCCGAATGCTATTATGGGCAGTTTCAAAAACTGAAGTACTTGGACGCGAAAGAATTGCAGAGAACAATAACTAATAGAGAAGCAGGCGTAAATGGAGGTGTTCCGAAATTTTGACTGCTACAGACCTAATCATTTCTCCAACTGACGCGGAATGACTAATGAGCCTCTATTGTCAAGTGCCTAGAATAGGGTTTTAATATCTACAATTTCATGTTTCAAGTTTTATACCTTATTATATAATCGCGGGGTGGATTTGAAGTTGGACATTATGTGTACTCGTCAGTGCATCAAACTTTCATATTTAGAAGTGAGGGAATTTAGTAAGCACCAAGCGCATATTAAATATCTTCGGCGTTTGGTGTTAGCAAGTTAACAGTACTATCACATGTTGTTGAAGTCAGTAAAGTAAAAATATTGTATAGGTTGTTATAAATTGACTGAATGAAAAGCAGACGCAGCACTGTTTGAAAACTTGTAGGATGTTGCTTTCTCGTCGCAAAAGTGATTCAATTCTAAACCGAGTTTTAATGTGGGGCAAGAAATGGAAACAATACGGTAACCATTAAGGTGCTTGGACAAGAAAAAGCCATCGAAACGTAATCCAAAGCGCAATATTCATTCAAACAATCTGATGATGAGTGTTTGGAGTCTGACGCAGGTGTAATCCACTTTCTGTCTGTATACTTGATAAAAGAGATCTTGTAGCTTTGTGCGGTTCCTATTCCGT